TGTGTGAATTTAGAACAGGGTTAACAAACTTTTTAAATAAAGAATCACATAGTGTTTTAGGCCTTGTGGGCCATATGAGCTCTGCCACAAGTATTCCACTTTGCAGTTGTAGTATGAAAATAGATAAATAACTTTATTTACAAAAGCAGATTGAAGACTGTATTAGGCTCACGGGCCATAGTTTAACAACTCCTGATCTAAAAGGTGTAGTCTATGTAGTCTATGCACTCTATGTATTCTGTCTGCCCAGCCAATAATTCTTGCCCTAGATAAAAGAAATAGGTATGAACACTATAGAGTGAAACCTTGTAGAATCGTATGGTTGAGAGGGGCCTCGTTTTCATCAGTCTGACTCCTGCCTGCTATAGAGAGTCCAGACAATTCCACCACTTGGTTTCACTGATACTAGCTCAGATCCTTGACTTCTCAATTTAAGATGGTTTTTATGATCTCCTGCTACCTTTTTACTGATTTTAATTTCTCTTATTTGAAAGATTTTCTCTAGGGTTTAGAATTGGGTTATGGGGTATGTGTGTGTTGGAGTGGTGGGGGGCACAGGTAGATATTGAAAACTTTGTCCCAGCCTTCAGGTCTTCACCTTGGGACACATTTCTGTCCCTTTGTCTAATGTCTTCAGAATCATGCCTTCTCTGCCTCCCAGGGGACAACTACAGAATTTAGTTTGATAAAGGTTTGCAATCTCTCAATGGGAGGAATCTTAGGGAGTCTTGTCTTCTGTCTTGAGGTGACACAACACAGAGTGGCCATAGAACTGCACCAGATAAGGTCCATGAGAACTCTGTGGCTCTATTAAATCAATTCAACAAATATTTACTGAGCATTTATGGCCCAGGCACTGTGCTAAAAACTGAACAAGGGTGATAATAGTCCCTGAGCTCACAATGATGACAGAATAGTACAGAAAATAAATGTACAAATAGCCATCAAAGGTATCATGTAAATTGTGATAAGTGCCACAAAGGATGTGCATATTATTTTTAGAAAGAAGGGATGCCTTGCATGTAGTAGGTCCTCTCAAAATAATGATTAATTCTTTGCATGTGAATACATCAGTAGCCTAGTAGCCATTGCTCCTGTCTTTGATTCTTATATTTATGCTTCTTATTCCTCTGGAACTGAAAAAGTGAGACTTAAAAAAAATATGTAATTAATATGTTAATCCCTAACACAGAAGCAGTTATTTCTTCATTTTCATTGTAAATAAGGAAATAATTGTTTTTGCTGGGATGTCCTCATCTGATCACAAAGCTGTCATGTACACTACTACCCCAATTTTGCACATGAGGAAACTTTGTTCGAGGTTTAAAATAGCTTATGTCTTTTAAAACTTTAGGGTTTTTAAAGTGGTACTTAAAACAAAAGTCTTCCCAAGTGCTAATATCTGAGCCAGAAATTAGGCACTGCTTGAGGGGGTAAGTGTAAGAGTTCTGGGTCAGACTCTGAGAGTTAGATCCTGGTTTAAACAGGGTTTATTAGTTGGTACAAGTTAGTTTCCCATCCCAAGGCTTACTTTTTTCTATTTGTAAAATGAATATAATAATAGTACTGATCTCTTGGGGCTGTTGTGATGATTAAATGAGATTTTTGCATGTAAAGCACCTAGAACACACTAAGTGCTCAATAGATGTCAGATAACAACACTGCCATTGTTACTATTATAAGACAAAGCAGTTGAGAGCTCAAAATAAGGCTTTAGAAATGTGCAGGAAAACTTGGATATGTTTCAGAAAGCGAAACAAAACAACAACATTCCACTGGATTTCTTTATTTGCAAAATGGGCTAAGAATTCTAACGGCTTGGGGTTTCTCTGGGGATTAAATGAGAAAATGTATGCTGAAAGTATATACTGAACCCCTCACATAGGTCAGCCCTCGGTTTTTGGCCATCTTTATCATCAACACAGGATAAGACCAGTAGTGGTGGCTGGGCGTTAGGCAGAGGTCAGACAGACTCATCTAGGCAGGACAGGGATCTGGGAAGCCCCAGCAGGCAGTGATAGGAGGAAATCTAGACATGCAGGTGTATTGGCATCACTTGGCCATGGACTCATGGCTGATGTTCAGGCAGGAAAGAAGAAACAAAGACTTAGCCCCAGAGACTGAACTTGAGGACAGGAAAAACGAGAGAAAGAGAAGAATCAAGATGGGAAGGGAGAGGGGATGATATGCCAGGACACAGGCAAGACCCAGAAGTACACAAGGCTGGCTCAGCGCTGGCCCACTAGCAGCGCTCCTTGCTTCTTTGGCTTTGGAAGCCAAACCAAATCTAGAGCCTGTGGGTGGCAGCTGCAGGAATTGGCATGCTGGGCCATCTGGTGCTCAACTGATAGGTGACACTGTAGGCCACTGGCAGATGTAAAGTCATGGGGGTGAGTGGTGACAGGAAAGAACCAAGGAAGCTGGACTATCACCCAGTTTTAGACCACAAAAGCACTTGTTTTTTACTGGAGTTCATAGACCATGTGCAAGTCTTGGTGAGGGCAATTGTCTTTGGAAAATCCTCCATTTGCCAGGAGTCTTAATGGCGCTGTGTGAGCAGCCAGGTCTCTGTAAGTCTTGCCTTCCCCCGATGGGGTGTTTCTTGGAGAGAAACAGAGATCTCCTCTCTTCCTCAGTCATGATGAACTCAGAGGGAGAAAGTACAAGAAGCAAATGCTGGCTCTGTCAGTTGGCCTGTCTGTAATAACCTTAATCTTGTTCCCTGAAGGTCTGGAGAAAACAACCATAGTAGCCCAAGGGCATCTCAGGACAGTAAATGGTCATATAAAAAAACAGAGCAGGAAATAGGATGAGGGTGAGATTTATGGGTCTTGTCTTCACCAGCAGTTTCAGTGAGGGTGAGGAGAGTTGTGGAGTCCAGGCCTGCTGAATCTCAGCCCAGCTTGAGTTTGTGGGGAGATAGAAAGTGGGGAGAGAAAGGCAGGCTTCTTCTAGTGAAAGACGCCTGCGGTTACTGTAGCTGAGCCGGGGAGGTTGGTGATCACGGCAGCATGGGTTGGAGTTCTTTAGCTCATTGCATTCTCAGAGGAAGTTTCACATTTTAAAACTTGAGAAAAGGGTGGCTAAGGCCCATCCTGGATGTCAATAAATCTCATGTTAAGAGCAGGGCAGAAGAGAAAGCTTGAGGTTTTTCTGTTTCTTAGAAGGGCCAAATGCCTGGCACTCTCTCCAGAAGGCCCGCAACTGCCCCATTCCCAATAAGGATCAGGGCCTTAGGAGTTGAGAGCAATGCTCATTTTCCTCACGGCCCATAAAGGGGCCTGCCAGCTGAGAGGTCTGTGATTGAGTGGTAACCACGTTTGTTGAGGACTTTCTACTTAAGTGTCCACAGATGTGGTTGATGAAGACGAGTGTTTCTGGAAGGAGTTGCATGGTTTGCTGCGGTGGTTCTCAAACTTTGGTGTGCCTGGAGTGTAACCTGGCTGTGTCTTAGGAATTCAGGTCCCTGAATTGCAACTGTAACGAATCTTTTTCAGTGAATCTGAGGTAGCTCTGGGGGTTCTGTGCTTTTAATAAGCTCCCTGGGAAATGCTGATGCAGGTGGGCCATAAATCATGTTTTGGGAAATATGAGTCTTATGGGATGAATCCTAGGCTGCTACTCAGAAGAAGTGAGTTCTGTCCTTGGATCTCCCCCTAATGTGCTATGCAAACATATGTAAGTTATTTCCAATTTCTGGGCTTGTTTCCTCTACAAAATAAGAAGATTGGGCTAGATCAGCAAGTCTCAATCCAAGCTGCACAACAGTGGAGAGCTTAGACACAATGCTTGTGCCTGAGCCATATTCCGAGAGCCCAGTGCTCAGGCTCTCATGATGTTGCCACACACTGGGAAAGAGTGTGGCAATGTATGGGCTTAAAATACTTCCAGGTGACTCTAGTTGTTGCTGGCATTGAGAACTACCATCTAGATATGCACAGTGTTCCTTCTCTGTGTTTGAATACTGAATCGTGAGAAAATATATTACCTACGTCTCATTTCTTCATTGGTCCCTTCATTGCCATGGAGGGAGAGTTTTCTACAAAATACAATTTTCCAGATAATTAAAGCGTACCTCATTAAGCACCAACCTGTTAAAACTTTCACTCTACTTTGTTTTTTCTTTATAAACAAAACATCAAAATCTTTTCGATGATTTTAAGTTACTGTCACTCATTCATGCATTCACTCAGTAAGTATGCATAAGGTGTCTACTTTGTGTTAGTAACTGTATTAGTTCGTTCTCATGCTGCTAGTAAAGACATACCTGAGACTGGGTAATTTATAAAGAAAAGGAGGTTTAATGGATTCACAGTTCCACATGGCTGGGGAGGCCTCACAATCATGGCTGAAGGTGAAGGAAGAGCAAAGGCAGTCTTAAAAGGTAGCAGGCAAGAGAATGTGTGGAGGGGAACTTCCCTTTATAAAACCATCAGATCTCGTGAGACTTATTCACTATCATGAGAACAGCAGTATGGGAGTAACCCTGTGATTCAATTACCTTCCACCAGCTCCCTCCTACAACATGTGGGGATTATGGGAGCTACAATTCAAGATGAGATTTGGGCGGGGACACAGCCAAATTATATCAGGAACATAACACCAAAAAAGGTTATGGGGTAGTCAAAGGATTGATGCATCATGCATCAGTAATAATAATAATTACAAGTAATCTTTAAACATTCATCAGGTGCCAAGGACGTAATAGGTACCGTTGTAAGCACTCTAGTTTTATCTCATTTAATCCGCACAACAATCCACTCAGGTGGGCACAGTTATAGGCCTGTTTTACAGACGAGGAAGCCAAGGCACAGAAGAATCCTATACTTTCTCAAGGTCCCACAGCCGACTGGGGTAGAGCTGGGATTCAATTAAGCCCACCTCCCTGTGTGATGTGGAACATGGCTGTTCCTGCTCAGAGCTTCTGTTTCATTCTGTGCTGAGTGGACCCTGAGGCTCCTTTGAGCCCTCACACCTCACAAGTTCATGTCTGTCCACAGGTCACTCAGGAGGTCCCTCACGTGCATCAAGGAGAGCCTGCGTATCTTCATTGACCTGGGGGAGAGAGACAAGGCTGCTGAGGCCTGGCTTGGGGCGGGGCGACTCCACTACCTCATGCAGGAAGACGAGCTGGTGGAGCTGTACCTGCAGGTAGGCCTCCTGCAGAGCTCTCTGAGGGTTGTTGACTTGGGTCATTTGGGGAGGCAGCTGTACCTTCCAAATCAACCAGCTGGAACCAGAGAGGGATGATGTTTACCCTAAGGCTGTGGAGAGAGGGCCAACACTGGGCTGCTCCCTGAACACATGGTGGAAACCAGGGTGGTCTGGCAAGCTGGGTACAGGCAGCAAAGGGCCAGTTGCTGAGTCCCATATGCACCCTGGGAGGATGTGAGGCGAGACGCGCATATCACCTGTAATGTCACTTGTCCCGTTAAGTATACTTGTCTTTCCAAAGCTCAACATACGCCCTGACTTCAGGGTTTTGCTGCAGTTTGAGGCAAGGCTGGTGTGTATGTGGGGTATTAACAATATTATTCTCTTATTGTTATTATTTTTTGTTTGCATACTTTTAATATCAGAGGTGTGGTACAGTGTAGTGCTAAAAATTCTGGGCTTTGAAGAGAGAAAAGCCTAGAGTCAAATCATAGGGCCATCACATTTGGACTGACTATGTGACATTTACCAAATACTCAGAACTTAGTAAATGTTTAATACAGGATATTTTACTGTTATTACTATCTGTACAATATTGACATTAAATACTGTGATGATATGTAAGATGTTTAATTCT